GATTCGAATCAAGGTTGTCTACTCTACTCTACATTTAGGCGCATAACCAACTGTGCCACTCAGCTCAAGAAATTGTGTAGGCATAATAAAATGAAGCAGCGAGCAAGCTGGTTATGAATAAAGCTATTACGTAATAATGAATACGTATATCAAAATAGGAATTCTATTATATTATTCTCCATAAATAATAGTTTGTCCTAAATTTATATATTAGACTCGTTAAAAGGCTAACATTTCAAATCCCATTATAACTGGAATAAATAATAATCTGAGTTCGTTAATATTATAGGCCTAAATTTGATTATATAAGACAAATATTTTCCGAATTCTGGTATGAGAGTAGCTTTCAAGTCGGCTAAACTGCCACATCACCACCAGAAGGACCCCACTGGAAATAAGTCTTCTTCGGACTTCAGCGGGGTATCCTTGGTGTTTACATCGAATAATTCCAATTCAATCTATTGACGTGTGCTAAACAAATAGTAAGATTCCATCTTTTTGGCCATTCAGAATATTACGCTATAAAGCATGATACCACAGCTATCACAGCTTAAAATAATAATGCATACAAAATACCACTCACAAACAAACAGATTAATTTCATTGCAGATTCATCAGTTTTATTTGCTCAAGGTTATACTTTAATCACGTCAATATTTTCATACTTGGCCATTTCGCATGGAACTCATTACCAACTGACATTGTTTACCGATGAATTTTAATTCATTCAAAAAAAGTTGTTGAAAGAGTGAATCATTAGTACACCATCATATTTCATGTTATGATGGAATGACGCGTATCAGGATTAGTTTAGATTGGCGTCTTTCCCGGGGTGGGTTTTATTAGCAAAGTACTTTATTTGTTAGCCTGTGATTCAAGGGGGTGGGGGAAGTCGGACCGGGTCCCTATAATATTTTCAAAATTATAAAAATATAATGGGAAAAAAAATTATATTCAAATTTATGTTTAGAAGCGCCAATTCTGGTCATCTAGGGGTGACATATATGTTGTTACATCAGTCCCAGCCATGGCGGGGCTGGTATAGACCCTCATCTGTCGAATTCCCTCCATGTGCTCTTCTCTACAGTTTTTCGAATTCCTGGATCAGCCACTGCTGGCCTTACTGGTATGATGCATAATCATTGCAGTCACGTTAGCAAAAAAAAAATGTTTCTTACTTATCGAAAGTATCCACGAATACCTACGGCAATCACTGAAAGAAATTCTCTTCAGAGTAGGTCTATACTTCAAAAAAAAAAATCAAAAATATTAATGCTTCAAATCTAATTTTATCACATTAAAAAGGGTATTAGTGACTTATCAAATCTGATGTACTATAGCAAATACAAGATCAAATGAATTTTGACGTCATTATGTTTAAATGATATTAAACCGGTATTCATCGTTTTTCTCATCGTCGAAAATATATTCATTAAATAAAAGGCAATAAATGAAACTGAGAATTGAATGGTGTGAAAGCTCAAATGATTATTGGCTTTTACATTTATTTATCTTTTCATATTATTATTATTGATATTTCAGTATATTTCAGTTGATATGGATGAATTAAAATGGATGATGGTTATGCGATATATTGAATAACTGTTCCATTAACCGGTAGGCCTACAATCATTGAATGGGAAGGGGATGATGAAGGGGGAGCGAAGATGGAGTGGGGAGCGAAGATGGAGTGGGGAGGGGGGCTCGATGAATTGGATTAGTGAGGAGGGGATTTTTAACTACTGTACTTGTGCGTAATTTGTGTGCTTCGAACATATCCAGTGTTGGGATCTTTTAGGGGGTGGGCGTGGGAAGAGCACCCAAAGACTACTAATATTATGGCGAGGATGATGACAACAATATGATTATGATAATTAATAACTATATATAGTACATCGGCATACATGTATGATAAATATAATATATAAAACATACTCAATGTAGTAATAACGCATGATAATAATGATGATAATAATAATATTGCCTTTTATAGCAAATGCAGTAATGCATTTTGCACTTCAATACTAGACCTATTAACCTGGTTATTGGACCTTAACACCTAACGATGGTGATGGTAAAGACTATTGATAACGTCTTAATATTATGGCATAATTATTTAAATCTGATAGTCATTCAACAGAATTGATGAATTTTATATCAACAGCAATGCCAACAATCAATAAAAGCGGAGGAAAATGTGATATTGTTATTGTCCGTGATTAATAGCATCGATGGCGATGATAAACAATAGTAATAACTCCCATTAGAAAAACATCAATTCATTCGAGCTGGCTGATCAATCACTGACCTTACAGAATTCAAATAATTGGTGACTGCTTCTGGATGTGCTATTATATATTCTAGATTCATATCACAAGTGCAGCAGCTGTATTATAGACGTGCAAACTGCCATTGAATATTCTAGTCCACTTTGGCTCGCTTTGATGAATGAGGCGCGGATTGGGCAAAAGGATCCATCTCAAGCCTAGGCTAATGAGACTACTTGACGATGCCCCTTTTGTAAATGAGGGGGAGGAGAAGTAGAAGGAGGAGGCAAATTACACCTGACTAAATGACCTATCCTATAGATATCAAATTTATTTATGGAGTGGAGCTGTAGCTGGGACGGATGCATGGCGGAGGAAGAGGTACGTGAGAGTCCACACCACTCAGCCCCAGCCCATGACCTCAAGGTGCCCGGAAATTGCACCTTAAATAAAACAATTAGGCCTATTTATTTCAATTGAGGGGGTGCGATCGCACCGTCTGCACCCCTGCATCAGCCCCAGTGTACCTTGGTGGTTAAGATGCTTGCGCTCCAATCCCTAGGCCCTGGGTTCAAACCCTGTCACTGCATAAACTCCAATCCCTAAGCCACAAATAAAAGAGACTTATAAAAGCATCATTCCATCCTGTAAGTCGCGAGTGTACTTGCTGTTGGATGTGAAGGAAATAAATAAATAAATTTAATCTTATGATCAGACAGACATGTGGAACTTTATATAAAAAAATGTTTGAGAAGTTGGTTGATGGATATTGTGAAGATGTGCAACAATAACGTTGTTCTGTTTTAATTGAAAGTCATAATTTAGGACCACATTTAAAAAAAAAAAAAAAAAAAAAAAAACAATCCAGAGATTTATTCACATTATGTTTGTAATTTACTAGTATCTGTTACTGATCGTACAGCAGACAGTGGCTCAAATAACAACAACAATATTAAAAATAATAATAGTAATAATAATAATAATTATAATAATAATAATAATGATAATAATAATAATAATAATAATACGTTTGTGAAGACTATCATTCATCATGGTAAGTATAATGTATAATATTTAAAAATACAACTTTTCCACTGGACTTACTTGTTTATTACATGCAATATTTCTTTTTCCAACCTGTGACATTCCATCTAACGTCACAGGTTAACGACCTTTAGCCAAAGAAGACCAGCGTACTGGATTGGACGCGAAATTATTGTCAAATGATACACAGGTAAGTCCAGTTGAAAAGATTATTCTTTTATATTATATAATAGTAATAATAATAATAATAATAATAATAACAATAACAATAACAATAATAATAATAATAATAATAATAATAATAATAATAATAATATAATGATATCATTGATGATGATGGCGACGATTGGTGATGATAATAATGATCATGATAGTAACTTATAAAATTAAGGAATTAAATATAAATAACATGCAAATATTAACATTACAACTAACATTGTTAGAATTCACGTTTATGTTTAGAGCCTTGACATTTGACATAACATGTGCAGATGAAACTACGGTACGAGACTACGTCATTCATAAGCTAAATAACTGGCAAAATATGTCCGTAGAGTCAGTAAACCTAGCTATTGACCAACACAATCTCAGGATCATATGTAAGTATTAAAGAAGCACTTACATATAGTAATATCTCACTTAGTTGAAAGCTAGTTCTGCGCACGAACTCTGTCATGTTAAAATCTTCTTTCTTTTCTTCTTTTTCGAACTTCTCCCAGTCCGTTTTATTCACAAGCTCCCGAAACCTTTCTGGATAGACCTCGGATTTTAACAAATTGCGATTCGCATCAATTATTCCTGTAAATAAAAAGACACTTTTCAACAGATGACACAGATTTAATTCAATTATTCAGTTTCGGTATTCTTCACTTGTCATTTGTAAACATAACAGTTACATAGAATTGCAAGGGAGAGATTATAAGTTTAATATTTCTCTAATATTACCAGCATTTTCTAGGTGCCATGGGGTTGTGGATATAAAGCCTGACACGCACTGCGCCAGACGGTCGTCGTCCGAAGTGGTACCACGGAGAATTGAACGCAGACTGCCACCGACCAATCAGCAGACAGCGTCGCGTCGTTTAAAGGCCAACTCAGACAGCGTCGGCCGACGCAGCCCAACCCGATTTATCGTCGGGGACTGTCTTAAGCCGTCGTGAGAAATTTTTTAATATTCTACGACACGACTGCCCCCGACGCACACCATGCGCGTCTCCGTTAACTCACACAGACCCGACGCGACAATAAATCGCGTCGGGCTGCGTCGGCCGACGGTCGTACGACGCAGTGTATGCCGGGCTTTGAGGCTACGTCCCTGAACCCGAAAACCGAACCGAAAATTGTTGACTTCCCGTTCCTTAATATATTATAGAGCCACCACCAACCAAACCGTTGACGCTATTTGTTAGAGCGATTCGATCCCATCAAATCAGACATTTCCTTATGAAGTTACAAGCGTTTAAACATACAGCCGTTTAAACAACAATATATGAGAAATCAGCCTTCAAAGTTTATGATTTCGGCCATTTCTCATGCAGAAACTATCACCAAATCCTTAAAAAAAAGTTGTTTTAACATTGAAAATAGGGAAAATAAGAGCATAGCATGATGTATAGATATATAAAGGTTAGTTTACTGCAATAAAT